GACCGCGAGATCATGACCTGAGCCGAAGTCGGCCGCTCAACCGACTGAGCCACCCAGGCGCCCCAACAAGTGTTCTTTAAGATACACAATTAAAAATCCCACAACAAGAGCCAAATGAACACATTGGCTCTCGTAACAAAGACACCCAGAATCCGTCTTGACGGTGAGGTATCAGAGACCAGGAACAGAATGCTGTGTTCTCCCGCCCACGCTTCATCTCCGAGGGCTCCACAGCCGCCACCTCCCAGACCCAGCCTCACGCCCCTGGACCCAGAGAGCAACAACACGCCGCCGCGGATGGCACAGGAGGGGCAGGCGGAGATGCGCTGACCCTGCTCCCCAAGGCCAAGGAAAGGGAAGGGAAGGTCTAGTGCCCATGCACACCAGGGCAGGGACCCTGCAGGCTCTAGAACAATCACACGTCCTTTTCCCGGGTACATCTGCCTACCTCTGCTATGGTACCTGAGGTGATCTTTAAAAGCTTCAGGTGGCAGATGTTAAAGTTGACATCCACAGATGTCACTAACGTTTGCTGCCACATGCCGCTGGAATACACCCAGCTGCTCCAGCAACGAGTAATTTTAAGTGCCATGTACGTTGACGAGCACAAGCAAAATGATACAATCATCTCCTGTCTTATTAAAGAATCAGCCATTTGCAAATTAAAAAGGGCTTATAGACATGAGACAAAAGATACAAATCTATCTATAATCATTATCAATCCCAAGACCTCCTTTTGTTAAACACAGGGGCCTGCAGTACAGCTCCTGTGACCACAAGTTCAGAAGGACTCAGCATGTGGCCATCAGATCATCTTACCAGAAGAAAATTCAAAACATTTACCAAAAGTTTTTCCACAAGGTCTCTTGCCTTAGGGAAGAATTTTTCAGGAAAGTCATACTCCAGCTTAATGATCTTCTGAAATATAAGATATTCATTTCTGTAAAACAAGAAAAACCATCACTTTGCACAGAGCACACAAACCTCCCCTTTCCCAGGACAGCAGTCACCCTCTCTCCCTACAGAGACACTGTGGTCATTGAAGGACCACGCGGAAGTCCCCTCTACCCTGGCCCAGCCCTGAGGGCCGCCCCCTCCCACCTCGCTGTCAGCTGCTACAATGGTTTCAGGGGGCGGTGAGTGGTCTTACCCCGCTCGAAAAGGCGGCAGTCCTGCCACAAGCTGATATATTATACATCCGAGAGCCCAAAGGTCCGAACTTTAAGGGAGGGGGGAAAAACACAGAAGAAGGACATCTGTAAAATTTCAGTGAGAAGCACAGTTCACTTCTGCCCTATCGGCTCATACCACCCTATTTCGGTCTCTGATCTACTTCTCTCCGTTAAAACCAGGTCAGCGTGAGGGTGGGAACCTGCTCGGAACCCTTCTTGGGGGGGCCTCCCTGGGGACCCGGGCTCAGAGGACCCCACACACAGCAGGCACTACTGGGCCAGGCCATGCAGCCGTCCCCACAGACCCGCCACGTCTGGTGGGGGCTACCTACTTCCTCACAGGGCCAACGTGGTCCTGAGGAGGGAGGAGAGGCCATTCCTGACCACAGGAAACACGAACACTGACGGAAAGGCACCTTCTTCTAATGCAGGGGGAGGGAAGGTGGCTCGCGCCCCGGTCACCACAGGTTGGTACAACTGCGAATAAACTCAGATTCTCTCATAACTCACTTAGAGTTTACCTCCGGGACACAGACGCAAGCTCACGTGTGCCAAGGAGCCAAATCAGACAAACTACAGGATGTGCACAAGGCAACGTTTAACTGTTTCCGTTCCTGACCTTGCTGTGAAGAGCCCTGCCCCTCCTTTAAAAACACTCTGATTACACACTGAGAAAGAAACCGTTCTGGGGCACCTGGGTAGCTCAGTCGGTTAAGCATCAGACTTCAGCTCGGGTCACGATCTCACATTTCATGAGTTCGAGCCCCGCGTCAGGTTCTGTGCCTACAGCTCAGAGCCTGGAGTCTGCTTCGGATTCTGTGTCTCCCTCTCTCTCTGCCCTTCCCCAGCTCATGCTCTACCTCTCTCTCAAAATAAGTAAACATTAAAGGCGTTTTTTTAATAAACAAAAAAATTAAAACGAAACAGTTCTAAAATTCCCTAAGTTGTTTCCAGAGCCAGGTGGCAGGGACAGACCCTGAAGGAGGTGCGCTCCTTGCCTGTGATGTTGCCGCCCATTTCCCACCCCGTTCACGCTCTCTGCTCAGTGTCTGAGATCTACTTTGCATATTTTATTTCCCCTGAAAGTTCTGCATTCTATTCCCAGCTCAACACTTCAGAAGCATCCAGATGCAATATACCACCCCCCCACCCCCGCCAGCTGCCTCCCCGTCCAGTCCTAGACCTACGAGGGCTCATGGGTTGCTGGATACAGCCAGCTTCTGGGGGAGGCTGCAGCCTGGCATTCAGAAGATGGGGCTGTAGAGTGCAGGTGGAAGGCACTTGACATGGGTTAAAAAGTACAACAAATCAGAAATCTGAGGCACAACATATGGATGAAGGACGTTTATAAAATGAATCTATATTCTACCCAGTAACTAGATTTTATGCTTGGTTTTCTCTACCGTTTAGGTCAAATGGGGATCCACACAAAACAAACGCAACAGAAAAGCATCGGCCCAGCGGTGGGGGGCAGCGGCCAGAGACGAGGTGCAGGGCTGCGGGCCGGACGTCATCTCTAGGAAGCGGGACACCCAACAGAGCCGGCCCCTGGGCTCCCCTCGCCTCTGTGATTCATCTGAGTGTTCAACACCAGCGGCTATCTTACCATTTAAAGTGGTTTTTGAATAGAATAAAAACTCAAGGGGGAAGGCAGGGTAAAATTTCTGGAAAGCAATATGCACCAAGGATCTTAAAATACGAAGTTAGACCAAGTCGTTCCACTTCCTGAAATCCACAAAGAGGAACGTGGGGCAGCCCTGGTGCCCCCTGGCAGACAAGGGGCAAGAGCACCCTTCCTCCCGGACACAGGATGTGCCGCACCTGGCAGACACGCCAGATTGTCCAAATAAATGAAAAGCACCTCTGAGTCCAATAAAAGAGGAAGAGCTCAATGAGCTCCGTCAGATGCACATGCCGGAAGCACACGGCTGTGAGACGTCCGCAGACGATTTCAGTGATGTGGGGAGGTGTCTGCTCCATGATCTCAAGGAGCAGGGCTCAAACCTGGTCATTTAGCAGGACTCCAGTTGAAGAGAAGTCACACGAACACACAGAAGACAGGCAGAAATAACTAACTGGAAGGACGCGCCAGATCACTATCTGGTGTCCATAAGCAGGATACAGACTATGAGTGTTCCCGGTCTTTTATTCTCCACGTTTTCTAAGAGTTCTTTACAATACAAAGGTGTCACTTTTAGAATCAGAAAACTATTAACTATTTATGAATAAATACCACACAACTTAAACGTTTAAAAGCATAAAAAGATGCTCAACAACGTCTCCCTCACAGCACTCTCCCCACGGCCGGGACACCCACCGAAGACAGTTTAAATGGCAGGCAAGCGAATGTGGGCAGACACCGTCCTTCCAGTTTCCACACAGAAGGCGGCCACGGTGTCCTCCTGATCTCTCCCGGTAGAACCCAGACACCTTCCCCCATCGGCACTAAAGGGCTGCTTCATCCTAAGTGCCCGAAATCGAGGACAAGCTAGTCCTCAGGCAGCAGCGACCTCGGCTTTGAGAACCTGGCCACCAGCATCCACCACCTAGAGGGTTTCTCAGCCTCTGCGCGGGGGACACCAGGGGCCGACTCATTCTTGCTGTGGGGCCATCACCGCACCGCACGATGCTGGGGAGTGTCCACCCACCGGACGCCACTAGCACTCCTTCCTCGCTCCTGCCAGGCTGTGACACGGAACCGTCCACACGCGGTCAAACACGCTCCAGGGGGCAGAACCGCCTCAGCTAAGAGGCTCTGCCCTACATGGGGTAAAAGCTCAGAATGTGCTGACTGAATTAAAACAAAAACAAAGAACCAGGAGACTGCTAAGATGCCCACCGGCAGCATGTGAGCCCTGGGGCTCCACCCCTCAAGAGTTCCTAACAAGCGGTCACGCTCAGAAACACAGGGCCACCCCCAGAACCACTCACCCCTCTGCCGCCTGACAGTGCCGTCTTTCTAGCAAAGGGGCCCCTCATGGCCATTACGGGACACTGACGGCGTGGCCGCAGTGAGGATCCAGGGAGAAGCTGCAGCCACACAACCTATCATCTGGAAGTGCTCTCCAAACTGAGACCCCAGACGCCACTGCCACCTCAGGCCCACCCAAGAGAGCCCCCCAGCTTCTCCCTGCTCCTGACCAACGGCACCCCACGCCCTCTCTCCCACTGCACCTCTGCTCCTTGTGAGCAGAGCCTCACTCGTGCACTTCTGATACTCAAAACTCAAGCCCCTGCCTGGGCCCGACCCAGTTCTGAGCACTGGGGAGGGATGGCTCATGCTGGCTGTGCCCCGGCCAGGAAACCGCCTCCCCCACACGATGCCTTCTGGGCCTCTTCCCACGGTCCGCAGAGTCAGGCCACTGGCAGCACTAAGGACCCCAAGGCTCAGGGACACAGCTAGGAGTGTGGACCTCCCGGCCCCACTTTCCCCCACTGAATAGTTGCTTCTGAAGGAACAAGATCAAATATCAAAGCATAAAGCAACAATGGTCCCGGGAAGTGTATTGTGTAACAATAAAGCAGCACAGAGGTTGGTTATCAAAGGCCATAAAAGGCACTCTCTTAACTAATTAACTTCATATGAAAAAACATACGTTAATAGCCACTGTAGAGAAAAGAGAATATTCTGGATCAGATGAAAGCGGGTTACCTTTTACAGGCCGATTTCTCTGTGAGCAGCTCTGGAGACACATACTGGGCTGTTCCTACAAACGAGTTGGCCCTGGCTGATGAGAGGAGGGAAAAGGGAGAAAGGTCACGCTGAGACACAAAGCATTTGTCATTGACGCTGCACCCTGGACGTTCATCCATCAGGATGTCGTGGTTCACGTGGGCCTAAGTGGGGATCTGTCCCAGTACTGGCCCCCTGGTCACGTGGAATCAGACTAAACAGTCCCAAGAGCCTACTTGTCCAGGGCCCTCCCCTCGAACCCCCTTCTTGGACTCTCCGTCCAAGGCCGGCTCAAAGGTCACTTGCTCTGTGACAGCAGCCCTGGCCACCAGGGCAGCCCCTCCAGACCACCATGGCGCACGTTCTCTGGGCACCTCTCACTGACCCGGCGGTGTCAGCTGGCAGCGTCTCGAAGAGAGAGGGCTTGTCCGTTTGGTCCACGAATGTTGCCTCAAACAGACCCAGGCACACGGCGGGCACAGATGGGACACACGTACACGTGGGAAAGGACCGGTCCCCTGAAGGCCACAGGCCTCCTTAACCAACAGCTCAGGGAAGTTGGGGTTGCAGGTGGAATAAGACCTGGGAGTCCCGGCCAGGGAAGCTTCTCGATACCCCACTGCTGCCAGTACCGCCTCTAGAACTGTGCAACACAAGGATCACCAGGTTCGCCCACAGACTCAGAGGCTCAGTGGCAGCAGGAGCCTCTAGACCCGCTCACCACCAAACAGGATGTCCCAATACCTGTGTCACCCCAGTGGCTCCCAAGGACCTCGGGGGCTCATCAGCAGCTGAGTGGCCCTGACCAAGCAGCGCCAAGGGCGCAAGTCTGCCCGCGCCACCACGTTGCTCCGGAGGCACCCCCAGGGGGTGTCCTCTGACATCGGAGACCGTGCGGCCACTTGGCCTTTCCCCGTGACCAACGGACACAGGACCGGGATTCCCGCACAAGAGGTGCCCACCGTCTGAGAGCAAAACACTTCCCTCAGGAGCGCATGCAATGCTGCAACCCTTCCAACGGTTCCCTGGAGATGCCCCACCTCACCTGCTGTCACCTGCTTTGCCACTACCTCCCACACTGGCTCCACATCAACGGCACTCTGTACCCAGCACTGGACGGCTGCTGGCAAGGCCGTGGTGCTGCTCGGACAGGCCCAGGGAGGAGACCACCGTTCCCTGCAGCACGTTCCAGCACGGCCCCGTCTCCTAGCCCGGCACCCCATGGCAGACAAGAGACACAACACCACAGTCGAACATCATTTTGTTCTGGACAAATAAGCTGTGTGACCTAGCCTGACCCCTCTGCAGATCAAGCAGTTCTTTTTCTCAGTATCTTCAGTGATGCACACCAGAAAGTATTTGTCCCTAAGGACACATCTCCCTGAACCAACCTGAGAGGTAAAACCTCACACCAACACACCTACCACCAAATGGTCTCTAGTCGGCCAGGCCCCTTCTGAAACCAGGTGACACACAGAGCAGTGACCACCCCGTGCAGGGTCCTGCTGGGTGGGCTTACTGATGAGGGCCCCAAGTGCTCTACTCGGGGTTGTCACATGGGGACATGTGGGCCCCCAAGGGATGTCTGGCAATGTCTGGAGACATTTCTGGCAGACACCACAGAGGAGAGGGAAGGGGGGGCTACTGTCACCTAATGGCCAGATGCCAGGGGTGCAGCTAAGCACCCACAGAGCACCAAAAAGCAGGAATCCTCCAGCCCCCAAAGAGCCCAGATCTTGAGTGCCCTCTGTACAGCCTCACTTGGACCGCACCCTCCTATCCTCCAAAAACACAGACCAAGATAGAGCAGGAGCAGCCAGCTAGGTTCTGGAAAATTCTGGAGGAGGGGGAGCTGGGGAAGGAAGATCAGCTGAAAGTGCCTTTGTCTTTCTTTCTCAAAATCGCCTACTCTGCTCTATGTTAGGTCCAGGGGAAGCAACCTTCTTCTTCTGCACTGACCACAAGGCTCTGTACTGGGCACCTCAGCCTGGTCCTGACACAGAAGCGATTGGGGGTTACAGCTACCTAGGACAAAACACACCAGACCTATGTTTGGCATGTCTACAAAATTCTTGATGGTATATGGCTATAAGCAACACAATACCCGAATTAAAATGCAAAAAGAAACCAGGGCCCCTGGCCACACCAATGCAGCATATGGTCATCTGGACTGAGAGGCCCATTGGTCATGGTGGCCATCACATCCTGCTCACCATCCCTGGGGCTGCCTCAGAGCTGGAGGCGCTTGCCATGGGGGACTTCCTGACTGTTGGTCCAAAGGCCTCCAAGGGCAGACGCCCAGGAGGAAGACAGACAAAGCCAACGTGCTGGCTCTTCCCCGTTTATCCTCATATATGGCCCCCATCCTCCCGAGTACTGAAGCCCTGGAGCCAGCAGGAGCCCCAGAGGGAGGCGAGGAGAGTGTGAGAGCCTACCTGAAGCTGGTCCTCCTGCCTCACCCTTATCCACCAAAGTGGTTTCCCTGGGCCCTGGACCCCCCCACCTGCCCCACCTCCACCCGGGGAGCAGAGGGGCTCACGGTCCCATCGAGGAGACCCAGCCCTGTTGCTTCCTCGGCCCTGCTCTCTGTAACTGGTCCCCTCATTAAGTTGTTTTCCTGTAGAGACTCTGCAGCCACATTTGCATCCTGCCAGGACCCCAAGAGATACTGCCAAGAACAATGAGGTGATTCATATGAGAAAAAAAAAGAAACTGAGAACCAAAACCAAATGAATCCATTCAATGATGCAGTGAATCAAAGAAACGCAAACGAACACACAAAAGCCTATCAGATCAGCAAAGGCACAAAAGGAAATACACAGTGTTGGCAAGGATTTGAGGAGACACACACTCACCGTGCTACCGGTGGCGATACGGAATGGTGTAATTTTCAGGGGAGCAGTTTTCCAATAAGCATCAAAATCCAGAGAGCACAGGCTTGCGCTCTGACCCAGCAGTTCCACTCCTGGCACCCGAGCCTCAGGACGGATCCGGCAGTGACAGCAAGACCACACGCAACGCAATGGCCCTGGGAACCCTGCCTGGTACTTCGCTGCCTCTCGTGTGCTCCCATCCTGCATAGGAGTCATGTGCGGCTTCTGTCATTTGTCTTTTGTTAATGCTGCTATTGAAAAGTTCTGGAAATGTATTTTTGTATGGAAAGATGTCCGTGATGCATAATTAAGTAAATTAAATCCAGCTATCAAAACAGTACATAGTGGGGCACCTGCGTGGCTCAGTCGTTTAAGCGTCCATCCCGCTCTTGATTTTGGCTCAGGTCATGACCTTAACAGTTTGTGAGTTCCAGCCCCGAACGTTTAGAGACGTTTGTGCCTCTAAATAGCTACATGATGCCCAAAATAAAGTCTAAAAGGGTCTACACCATCCCCACCCCCGCCCATGGCTAGGCTTCAGTGACTCATGATGTAATTAGGACTGTGTTGCTGTTTTACAGTCTCTGGGCCTGGATCTGCTGGTCTCCCGTGACACCTGCTGCTCCCTATTACCGGGAGCCTGTGCCCATCTTCTTGAAGGCGGGACTCCAAGTCCCTGGAGAGGTGTGAAATCACCCCCTTGGAAAGGAGCTCTCCTCTAGTCCTGAGATGAAGGAGGCCTCTGGACAGGACTGCCCTCAGAAAAACGTTTGAAAGGCATACAATAAAATAGGACTATAAATGACCAAAGTGTCAAAATACTGGGGTAGTGAAAGCGTGCCACAATGATGCCAGGCTCTCTGTATCAGAGCGGTAGGTCATGAGGCCCATCAGGTCTAACAACGCAGGAACTCGGAAGCAGCGAGGAACACACACAACAGAGCAAGACTCTGTGACAACCTGTTGCCCACCTTCGTAATTAAAGGAAACATTCAATTTCACTGAAAGGTTGGTGAAAATCAGCCACTTTCTCCTCCCCAGCTTCACGAGAGCCGACTTCCGTGTGTGACACGAGGGTAAGAACCCCCAAGAGAGCATGAGAAGCGCAGAGAGAATCTGGTTACCTCCCCCAGTGGCTCAGAGATGAACCGAAGGCCAAACTGCTCCACCTATTGGAAAACCAGGCCCAGAAACCCACCGTTAGTCAGAAAGCTGCCTATTCCACACCACTAACCCACTAAAAGTGGGCCACAGGGTCAGGGTAAAGAAGAGGGTCTTGGGCTGTGCTGCTGTCTCTACCCTGAAAGTGATTCAAGCAAAGTGACCAGCATCCCAGGCCGTGAAACACTCTGGCCACCACCTCGGACTCAGAAGTGCCTGTGAGGAAGGACAAGCCCCAGGGAGTGTTCCTGAGGTCAGAGGACACCCACCCTCTCTGCAAAGCTGAGAGTAAAGAACTACAGTGTCTTACTCATAAGCCCCCAAGTGAAGCAAGCACACACACTCCCCAAGAGAGGCTTCCCTCTTGGACAAAAGATGAGCAAACTGAATACAGCAACACATCAACAGGAGTACGCACCACGACCGAGTGCCATTTATCCCAGGAATACAAGGGTGGATCAACATACAAAATTCACTCAGGGGCGCATGGGGGGCCCAGTCAGTTGAGCGTCTGAACTCGGCTCAGGTCATGATCTTGCAGTTCACAAGTTCGAGCCCCGCATCGGGCTCTGTGCTGACAGCTCAGAGCCTGGAGCCTGTTTCAGATTCTGTGTCTCCCTCTCTCTCTGTCTTCTCCCACTCACACTCTGTCTCTGTCTCTCTCTCAAAAATAAATAAAAACACTAAAAAAAAAAAACAAACAAAAAAAACCCCAATATATTACATATCATTAGAATAAAGAACAAAATCCACATGATATCTCAGTAGATTCAGAAAAAACATCTAATAAAAATTCAACACTCCTTCAGGACAAAAATACATCACAAAGTAAGAAGAGAAAGGAACCTCCTGATAGTCAAGGCGTCTATCATCAGCCTCGATGGTCAAAGACTGAAGCTTCCCCCGGAAGATCAGGAACAAGACAAGGATGGTCAATTCCATTCGACATCGTCCTGGAAGTTCTGCCAGGCCCGCCAGGCAACAAGAGACAAAAGGCATCCGGAGTGGAAAGGAAAAAGTAAAAAGTATCTCGAATCACAGACGGCCTGATCTTCTATGTAGAAAGTTCTGAGAATTCACTACAAAACAGTTACAACTAACAGATCCAGCCAGGCTGCAGGACGCAAGGTGAGAGCAGAAAAGCAAATGTATTTCTACACGCTTGCAACGAACAATGTGAAGGTAAAATTCAGAAAACAATTCCACTTACGATAGACTCCAAAATAAAATACTTAGGAATAAATTTACTAAAAAAAAGAGGAAAGCCTGTACACCAAAAACTAAGACAGACTTTGGAAAGAAATTATAAGACCTAAATGGAAAGACACCCCCCACGCCGACCCCACCCTGACCCCAGCCGGCGTTCACTCAGCACGACGCGTCCTACTCCATCGATGCTAGTGTGGACCAGAACTGCACTCCTCTTTAAGACGAATCCTGTTTACCCATGTACACGCCGGGCACCTGAGTTGTCTCCACTGTCTGGCTATCATACATAAAGCTGCTATGAGCACTCCTGTACACTGCTTCTGTGGACACGTCTCCACAGCGCTCAGATACATCTGCGAGAAGAACTGCTCACTTACAAGGGACGACGCTTAACGTTCTGAGGAACTGCCAGCCTTTTTTCAAAGTGACCGTACCATTTGACATTCCCACCTGCACAGCACAGGGTTTCCATTCCTCCACACCCTTGCTAACGCCTGATATCAGCGTCTGTCCTATTTCTTTTTTTTTTAATGCTTACCCTTGAGAGAGAGCGCCAGCATGTGTGCGCATGAGCGACGGGGGTGGAGGGGGGAAGGGATCCAAAGCGGGCTCTACGCTGACAGAAAGGAGCCTGATGGGCGATGGGCTCACTCGAACTCACAAACCAAACTGGACCAAACTGACCAAACTGAACCCTGAGATCATGACCTGAGCCACCCAGGTGCCTCACTGTCTCTCCTTTTGATCACAGCCATCCTAGAAGATGTGAAGTGGTATTCAGCGTGGTTTTCATTTGCATTTCCCTAATGACACTTAGCACCTTTTCATGTGTTTATTGGCCATTTGCTTTGTCTTCTTTGGAGAAATGTCTATTCAGATCCTTTGCCTCCTTCTACATTTTTAATGTATTTTCTTTTTCTCTTTTAAAGTTTATTTACTTATTTTGAGAGGACAGCGGGGAGCAGGGGAGGGGCTGAGAGAGAATCCCAAGCAGGCTCCACTCTGTCAGCGCGGGGCCCAACACGGGGGTCAAACTCCTGAAACCATGAGACTACAACCTGAGCTGAAACCCAAGAGTCGGACGCTCAAACAACTGAGCCACCCAGGGGCCCCAATTTCATTTTACTTCTTGTCTTATGAGTTCTTCAGGCACTCTGGGCTAAGTCCCTTACCACGTACATGTTTTGAAAATGTTTTTTCCTGCTTCGCTTTCTGAATGGCATCATGGCACAAGTTTCCCAACTGGATTCAGTCTATGTTCCTTGTGCTGCCCATGCTCCGGATACCGTATCTAAGAAAGCGCTCCCTGCCTAACTCATGGTCATGGAGATTTACGCTATGCCTCCTCTCAGAGTCTCAGCTTCTAGAGTCTACATTCAAGTTCACTTCAGAGCTAACTTTTGTGTATTATGGTGTGAGGTAGGCGTAAATCATGTTTTGGGGGGGTGCTTGGGTGGCTCAGTCGGTGAAGCGTCCGACTTCGTCTTAGGTCACGATCTCACACTTCGTGGGCTCAAGCCCCACACTAGGCTCTATCCTGACAGCTCAGAGCCCGGAGCCTGCTTCAGATTGTGTGTCTCCTTCTCTCTCTGCCCCTCCCCTGCTTGTGCTCGCTTGTGCTGCACTCGCTCTCTCAAAAATAAACATTTAAAAAATTTAAGTAAAACAAATCAAAAACTCCATGTATCATAGCTATGACTAAACAAATACCAATGCTGAGAAGACGAGAGTAAACCATTTCTGATGTTAAGAGTTATATATGCTGGTATAAGTATAGGGACTTGACTTTCCCCTCTATCATGTGAACTCTTCTTCTGTGGTGGGTGGGGCTGTCCTGCCCACACTACAGTGGGGGCGAGGCAGAAATGCTGGGGCAGGTTCTAGAGTCCACAGCACACCGGGTGGGGGGGATTTGATGCCGCTCTGAGGGTCTGGATGATGGCCCTCCACAGAAAGTACAGCTGGAGTGAGTGACAGAAGTGACTTCGGCTCTGTAGCCTCCCCCTCCAACCCGTCTCTGGTCATCTCCCACTGCACACCTGCCAGACCTCCCCTCCTGTTTGGCGAGTGGAACCTCCATACCTGGCCGCATACCAGAAAGGCCTACACAGCTCACGACATGAGTTTCTAGACACAAACCCCAAGTCCAAACCTCTATGGCATCCCAAGCTCCCCAAGTCTCTACCAAAGACAACAAAAGCCAGTGACACAGCCACAGACAAGGGGCTTGCTCTGCATGATTAAGTTGCCTCTGCCCAGACATGTCTGTGGGAGCTTGGTTAGAAGTCACAAGTCCTCTGTGCCATAAAGTCCTCATCAATCCCACATACCCTCAACAGCTGCCCTGCTGTTTCCTATCCTGCTCCTTACAGTCACAAGGCCACTAGGATGCCACAGGAAGCAATAAGGGAGAGACAGAGGGACAACCCACTGGGACAGAGGTCTGTGAAGAGACAACCTGCCTCTTCTAGGAGGGTAGAACATGCTCACAGGACAGTTAAGGAACCTGGGCCGTGTCTCCACCAACGCTTGCTCTCTGGAAGCCTAAGATGTTTTATGGAAATCATCTCTGCACAAAGGTTTAAAAAAAAAAGCTAATGCAAGAATAAATTCTAAGAGCCTGAACTACTTGAAACAGAAAGCGAGAGCAAGTCACTAAAACCAATCATTCACATAGTTACACGTTTTCCCTCTTCCTCTAGAAGGGTGGGAAAAAGCCAACTCATCTATACATACAAGCAACTGTCCCTGATTTACAACGTAAGGACGTCTACACTTCTACTCCCAGAAAGAAAATATGCAGGCTTATTTCTCCAATGCATTTAAATTCATCCCATTTTTTAAAATGGCTATAAGGTACCAGGACTAGCTTGTGCCAAATATCAGGTTGTGAGGCAAATGGACAAAGGAAAAACAGATAGCACAGACCCCGAGGTGGCTGGCTCCCAAGGCTGACAGGGGGAGCCCCATGGCGGACGGTGACTTGTCTCATGGGAAGTGACACATGACGGGACAAGGACGTTTGGGGCCATGGCAGTTCCTGCTTAGCTTGTGTGTGTCGTGGGCCACGCCTACGGTCATGGGTTATACCACGTCCACAAAACACGACCGCCGGCCGACACGATGTTCCTGTGCAACAGCGATGAGTCAGGTGGATCAAGGTTTTGGGGCATCTCACAAGTGCCCAGAGAACCTCTCCAAGGTGGGAAGGAGGGACAGGGAGCTGCAAAAAGAAGGTGAGTGGCACCAGGACTAAAATTTGTCAAGAGACAAGAGTATCTTCCTTGATTGTGAGTTCTGTTTCAGCCCCAAAAGGGTGGTGCTTTAAGATTCTCGAAGAAGGTCCCAAATCTGAGATGCAGTCTTGGCGATTCAATGAGAGTCTGCGCAAACATCTTCCCAACACTGAGTTTGAAAACATGGGGCTGCAAAACCACCAGGAAAGGAAACAGAAGGCACCCTGTGGAACAGAACCTACCGAGGCCCAGGCAGGCGCAGCCAGGAGGAGGGGACCCCAGACATCAGCCCAGCAGCTGCCCTACGTGTGGTCGCCAAGCAGGCCTCAGTCCGACCTGAGGCGGAGCAGACCTGCCTGGCTGAGCTGCAGGGCTCCTCGGAAGCCGAGCGGCTCGCGCTGTGGCATGGAGCTCGCGGCTCCCCTCCTCCACAGGAGGGCCGCTGCAGCAAAGCGGAGGTTTCCATCTGAATCTCCCTTCCGCCAACGACCCCAGCAGTCGCACCTGCTCCGGCCGCTCCCCAGCCCGTCCATCACGGCCCTCTCACGGGGCCCCACAGGGCCTGGCAGAGCTGAGCACACTGCCCTAGCCTCTCGGGCCAGGGTGGCTCTGTCAGTTACACTGTCCTGACTCAAGGTTCATTTTCAAGGTCCCTGATTAATTTCAAGGTCCCCACTGGCTAGCTAAGACACTCAAGGCCCACTGTACTGTCAGCAACTCGTCTTCAGGTGATGGAGTGGTCACAATACATAACCTGGCACCGGGAATCACCCTAAACAAACAGTGACTGGGATGGCTTGCAATTGTAAATGTGCACTCAACTAGCAACTTAAAAATCAGCCCCTACTCGTTCTTTGAGTTCGTAGAACCTCACCATCATCGGGGTGCCTGGGCCACCACTGGCAGCTACACAGAGGAGATGGGAAGACAGGCAGATGGCGGGCACTGGGACGGAGACCGTGCTCTCACAGTTACAAGCCACAGTGCCACGGGAAGAGCCGGGAGCTGATCCCAGCAACTCAACACCCCTGCTCAGAAGACCAGGAAGGAACAAAGCACCATGGCATCTTCCAGGACTCGGAGCGGTGAGCCCCAGTGGACACTTGCAGGTGCTCACAAAGACCTGGGACGACAACATGCAGAGTGGCTGGCAACCCAGCACCCCCTACTCAAGGCCAGGCAGACCAACCACAGGCCTAGAAACCTAGTCGTCTCCCCCCACAGTCCAGACCAGACAAAACCGCCCAGACCTCCAGCGAGAGCCACCACGTGAGGCAGGGCCTTCCCATGTGAAAGCTTCAGCAACTATCTTACAACAGCACAGGTGTTACAAACATGTCACTAACAATGAAGACAGTACAACACAACACGTTTCTAAGAAGTTGTTTTTGATCTCAAGCACTGAGCCAGGACCTGCTGGAAACAGAGCACTCACACACCTTGTTTACTCTCCGGGGATAAGACTTTCGCTGTTCCAAAATCTGTGATCTGGATGTGCATGTCTTCATTTAACAAAATGTTTTCTGGTTTCAGGTCCCTGTGAAAGCAGATTTTTTACATTTGAGGTGAAATATTTAAACAGTTATGCTATTACACACTTTACAATTTTTCACTGAAAACAAAATGGACTGATTAACGCTTATAACCTTTATGGACCGACAACCAAGAATGCGAGTCTTTTTAAAAAGTTCACAATGACGGGGCGCCTGGGTGGCGCAGTCGGTTAAGCGTCCGACTTCAGCCAGGTCACGATCTCGCGGTCCGTGAGTTCGAGCCCCGCGTCGGGCTCTGGGCTGATGGCTCAGAGCCTGGAGCCTGTTTCCGATTCTGTGTCTCCCTCTCTCTCTGCCCCTCCCCCGTTCATGCTCTGTCTCTCTCTGTCCCAAAAATAAATAAACGTTGGAAAAAAATAAAAAATAAAAAAATAAAAAAATAAAAAGTTCACAATGAACAAATATTAACTGCACTTAATGAGTACCTTCAAATTACATCACTTCAAAAGTACATCTATCATTTTCAATAAACTTTTTATTAAAGTGTAACCCATCATTTTTAGCCCATAAAAGGAAGATCTTTGAAACCTACTGTGGTCATCATTTCACAATATATTTTAGTCAACCATCCTGTTGTACACCTTTGATTTACACAGTGACGAATGTTGTTCGTTATTTCTCAATGAAACCAGAAAAAAGAGTTAAAATGATAAATTCTGTTATATGTCTTTTACCACAATAGAAAAACGATCAGTAACCACAACAAAAAGAGCTCATATGAACGCTTTTAATTTGACAATGTCAGAAAGTCATGGAAAATAAGATCAGAAATAAGTACACACAAAAGCTATTAGGCAGGAAATAAAAGCACCCAGTCAGGATGGCTGGGAAGGCCACCCACCCACCCAGCAAAGACATCTGACCAACATCACCTGGGAAGTCTCATCAACTTCTTAGATCTCACAAGGAGGCCTCCCACCACTCCAGAAAATAAAGCAGAGCTGACCCTGGGGCCTGGGGAGCAAAGCCCACAGGCCCCTGGCATGGTACCTGTGAATGATGCCCTTGCCATGCAAGTACTCCAGAGCCGACACCATCTCGGCCGTGTAAAACCGGGTGCACGTCTCATCGAATGAGCCAATTTTGCGAATGTATTTAAGTAGTTCTCCATTTTTGGCATAACTAAGACCAAAGTCTAAATATTACGTAGTTAAGGAAGAGTGCAAAAGTCATTCTTTTAAACTAACCTTACAGCCCAATAGGAATTTCTTAAGTTTCATTTATTTACTTGGGGACGGGGGAGGGGCAGAGAGAGAGAGACAGAATCCCAAGCAGGCTCCACATTCAGCGTGGAGCCTGACTCAGGGCTCAATCTCATGACTGCGAGATTGCAACCTGAGCCGAAATCAAGAGTCAGATGCTTCACCAACCAAACCACCCAGGCGTCCTAGAATATTTTTCATTAATGAAAACTGAAGGTACCTGTGTCCTAAGACAGCTGTCCCTCTTCAAGTCGGACCATGGCATGATCATACACACAGCTGCTGGGTGTGACAGGAATCCCTGGCCCCAGCTCCACGAACAGGCCCCAGCATGGGTTTCTCACCAAGAACACAAAGACACCCATCCCTCATTCCGACTGCCACTTCTGGACCCCACCATCTCCACAAAACACCCACGGGCTCAGTGAAGGGAAGCCACCAGAGACGGCAGAGCCCGTGGCACAAATGCCTCTTTGCAGCCAGGGGAAAGGGCCCTCTGTCATAACAGAGCCTCCAAACCTGCATCACGACAGGCACACACTTACTGGGCACCCACTGCTTTCCACGGTGTGCTAAGAGTCAACTCATGTAACGGTTTCTCAAATGCAAGCTCCTTTCCACATATAAAGCAACGTGTTTCATAAAGAAATGCCACTTTCAGAGTGCTGGGGACAGGGGTGACGCCCCTAAACGAACCAACAGAAAGCCCTCTCCCCACCGCAGCAGCCCGTTGGTACTAGACCAGGTCACTGCTCCCCTGAAGACGGAACCACTGGGAAGAGCCCAGTGTGCATGTGTGTCCTGCCTGGACAGCCTCACCTCTCTCTCTTGAAACCGCCTCCTCACCCCCAGAACAACCTGCACAGGAGCCAAACCACAGGTCGGGCCCGAGCCCCAGGTACTGGACCAGTCGGCAGCATCTGGTCTGGCTGCCAAGCACCCCTACCCCAGAAACCCTGGGGCCCTGGGGGGTCTGCCTCTCTGCTCACTGGCAACACCCCATGTGCCACTCTCTGTGTGGGGGTGACTTGGGCTCAGGCCTCGGAACTCTCCCCTGCTGAGCACGCTGTGGGGGGCCGACCAGCCTGCCGACACCCCTCCTACCCCCCCCCCCGACCCTCAGTTTGTGAGCTGCCCTGACTCTTCGCGGAGCTCTGCTGGCAGCCGCCCAGCAGCAGCCGGCACCTACAGATGCGTCGAATGCCAACGCCACGCACACTCCCAGCCTAGCCTCTCCCTCAGACTCTTCCAGCTCACCTACAGCAACCCTGCGCACCCCGACTCTGAGGCCTCACGCCCGGAAGCCACCCTGACCACACTGCCCCTCGCCCGGCTCACCTGCAAAAACCTTCACAGTGCAGTGCCGGTCACGGCAAACGGCTGCTCTGCTCTAGCCTCTCCAGGCTCCCCGCACACTTGGAAGTAAATCTGCTATTCTCACCAGGCCTCTGAGGGAGGAGGAGCTGCCCCTGCCCAGCCTTTTCACCCCACCTGCACAGACACGCTCCTGCCCTTGCTCCGCCCAGGACTCGGGCCAAAGTCCATGGGTCCCCTCAGACCAGCAGGCTACAAAAGCAGCACCTTCCGGCGCCCTCTCACCGGGCCCTTACTACCTTTGTTCCCTCAACACATACCACATGGGCGCCCATCATCAGCGTGTGCTAACTCCTGCACAGAATGCAAGCTCCGGGAGCGCTTCCCTTCTTGACCGGCATACCCCCATCACCTGGCACTCAACAAGAACTTCTCAACAAAAGGACAAGTTCAGCTGACAGTTGAAGGAGCCAGAAAATGGTGTCGAAGGGAGACAGGGATAGAGCAAAGCTTCAACCCAGAAGAGTCTGTGTAGAAAGAAGAAAGGGGAAAGCCCGGGGCAGGGGGTGTGTGTGTGGGGGAACGGAACAGCCAAGCCCTCACACGGACCAGCTTTAGCGCCAGGCAGCTGAGGAGACCGGAGGGCAGGAGGGAAAGAGCTAATGTCAAGACTGAGGTTTAAGCCCGAACAAGTCCTGAAGCAACTACATTTGACAGCCTCCTTCTCTCAGTGGAACAGAAGCCAAGAGCATCTGCTGGGACTGAGGACAAGAGTCACTGGGACACACAGGGGCCGAGGAAGTCCTGGTTGGGAAAAACTACAGGAAAAGTCCGTGGAGTGAGGAGAAACTGGCCAGCCAGGCCCCATGATGGGCAGACCCTGGGACAAGCTAGACAACACGGTCGTGCCCCCCCCCCAACATGGTGCCCTACCTCCCTGCTCCCTAAGCAGAGGTAAAAGAAGGGGGAAAGAAAAACATTGCCCCAGGGATTAGAGAAGTCAGGGAGCAGGAAAGGCCCTGAGAGGAAACAATCAGCAGGGTGTGACAGCCCTGCCTGAGAGCCAGAGGCACTGGGGGATCACAGCCATCCACAGGCCACAGCAGACTGGGGAGGGTCCATGGGGAGGGGGAGAGGAGAGGGCCTGGGGAGGGGAAAGAGTTTGGGTCCCTGCGGTTACTCCCTGGACTTCGCACTTGGGGGTTAAGCCTGGTAAAGACGTGCATTCCAAACAAACCCCACAGCCCTGGGCCAAAGAGAGCAGTGAGGGGCCCTGGAGGTTCGAGATCCTTCTTCCTCTCTCTCACTTCCCTGCCTTGAGAAGAGACTTGACGGAATTCCAAGGAATAAGGGAATGCCTTTGAATAAATATCTAGCAACCACAGGGTTAAAACAGTAACAATCCTTTAGATACAAAGCTTATCAACAAAAAAACCTCAAAAAAGTTTGTGCTGATCTCCTGTGAAGTACATTCCACTTGAGTGAACGTCAGCAATCCCAGGGGCTCCCACAGCAAAGTGATGTGAATTCCTTTGTACTTAGAATATGCCACCCTTGCTTGTCCTGTCCAGGGAGGGACGACTTGTGAAAATACACACTGGGGTCATGACTCCAAAATAGCACGGGGTCACTGGTGCGATTTCAGGTGCGACTGTTCAAAGGATACACAGCTTTTCATCATCCTGAAATGTGAAGTAAAGTTTAACAAAGAACGGGTGATCCAGGCGTGACATCACGTCTCTCTCTCTGGTTACATACGGGACCTTGTTCTCTTTGATAATGTGACGTTTCTCTAGAATTTTAACTTAAAGTAAGAGAGAAGCAAGTTATTACAATTGATAGCGGTGAAAACAAAACACAACAGCACACTAGAAACAAAACTCATAAAGGTAACTGGAACAAATTAAAGTTTTTCACAGAACATACCCACCGGCTCCGTGGTCTCTAAGACCACAAGTGCCTGACCCTGAAATGAGCACAGAACCTCCAGGCACCGGGCAGCCAGGTGGCCATGTGCCTGCAGGCACCCCGCCCCGCATCCCAGATGCGCGGCCCACTGGACTTAGTACTTACTAGCGTATTCCCTTGAGGTTGCCAGTTCTCGGGCCAGGACAACCTGGTTTCGGAAGAAAAGGGGAAAGAGGAGAGAAAACTCACTCAATGAACCAGGGCAGTGAGTCTCACAAGTCACCCTGCAGCCGACAGAATGGGCTAACACGCCCCCACCATGAAATTACATTGAAATATTTGAAATTACATTAAAACATATCTGGTCCTGTGCTAACAAATACAATGGATGTTAACAACAAGGTGAATACGTTCTAATAAACAGCAAACGCATATATCAATCAACTGCTTTCAGAAGGTTCTTGATCAGCTGCTAAGTTCCCCTAGTGCCATGAAGTACACATTCAGGAACATCTTAGACTAATGTAACCCTCACAAATAGCAGAAAGCAGCAGCAAATAATACCTCTAGAAGTGAGTCCTGGGAATTCCCTTAAAAAATAATTTTAAGAGGGGCACCTGCATAGCTCAGTCAGTTAAGCATCCGACTTTGGCTAAGGTCAGGATCTCGTGGTTCATGGGTTCAAGCCCCGCGTTGGGCTCTGTGCTGACAGTTCAGAGCCTGGAGCCTGCTTCGGATTCTGTGTCTCCCTCTCTCTCTCTGCCCCTCCCCCATTCGCACTCTCTCTCTGTCGCTCAAAAATGAATGTAAAAAAAAGTCTTTTAAATAATTTAAAGAATATATTCTCAGTATATGTTCATTGTTCATTCTGCCCTGAATTTGGGCTTTTTCAAGTAACTGTTATCATACATTTCTCTTGATGCCCCTCTCAGGTACTGTAAACACTATCCTACCATCAAGGGCACAGGAAGCTAAACCACGAGTGGCCCACAGGGAGCGTCTCCTGGAAGGGTACAGTCACACCCCAGGCTGGTTTCTCTCAGTAGCACACCTAAGTCTTGTACTCAACCACCACTTCAGGGCACAGAACCAAGAGGGCACAGCATAACGTGGAAAAGATAGTTCTACACAAGCAGCCTCTGAGCACAACCTGGGCACCAACTCCCACAGGCCCAGTGAGGCCTGTCTGCTGGGAAGCTGAGGCAGCCTCCACCCACCCCGGCCAGCTGAGGCAGGTGCCTCTAAGAGGCCTGCACAGAGACGTGGCCCGAGGACCAGAGAGCAGAGGGAAACCTGCCCAAATCCTGGGAGAAATTCAGGAGGCCATGGGCCGGGATCATCCTACAGTATTCTCCGGCAGACGCACCAGAAGTGATGCTGGGAGAGCACTATGTGAAACGCCCTGTAGTTATTAAGGAGAACAGGGTTAGATTGTATGTGCTCAAGTGGAAAGATCTCAAAGATCTTTCTGGAGGAATGTACCTGTGTGGACTGTTCTCAGGCGCTGGGGGTGTTGGGGAGGGGCTGGGGAAAGACCCCTCTCCTTATGTGATGTGTTTATGAAATGTTAAATCTCTTCACAGGAGCATGTACTAGCTACCTAGTAGAAAAGAGCAAGAAGAAACTATTAGTACTAACAATTAACGGGACCCTTTCTGAAGGAGCTATTTATGAAATCCTTCTGTTGTGTGAATTCAACATTTCACATGCAGGCCTCCTTATGGGCACAAGGCAGGAAGTATCCCTCTTCCAGAGAACAAGGCATGACGCATGCCCCCACGGCCCTCCGGGCTGACAGCAGGGCTAATGTGGACATCAAGATCATCCCCAGGGGGCCAGGCAGCAGCAGGCCAGGCCTCTCTACTCTCCAGGGCCAGGCTCGGCCGAGAGCAGATCCTGCCCAGCCTGGGAACTGCCCCTTGTCCTCCACCCCCCCTGGAAATCTAATTTTAAGAGGTCTCTATTTCAGGAGTGATGAGGAATACCTGAGGGTAGCACATATAATTTGAGAGCCAGGCTACAGGACTCCCAACAGTGCCAGGAAGGAGCCTCCAGCTCATGGTGCTCTTCTCTGGCACCTCCCTGGCACAGGGGTTCAAAAGGCACAGGGGTGACAAGAAGTACAGCTGGGGCTCTTCAACAGCAGGAGTGTGTCACCCAGAATGGATGGTGCCCACTTTTACCCACCGTGGAAACCCATGGACCAAGGGGAATTTCCCAAGTAAGGCTTCATTTATTAGTCAAGATAAATGTCCATGAAGTAAATGAGAAAAGGAGAGAATGCTTCTTCTTTTACTGGACTATTTTAAGTAACCATGCAGAACACCCAAGGTTCTTTTCAAAATAGTTTCTTCTTTCTGAGAGGATCTGTGAGTACCAGAACTACTGGCAACTATGCTCAGAGTTAAAGATTTTTATCATGAGGGCACAATTCTTTCATAATTTAAACAGAAACTGCCAATAAAAAAATCTAAATTAAAAACATAAGGAGAAGGGCGCCTGGGTGGCTCAGTCGGTTGAGCATCCACTCTCTTCAGCTCAGGTCATGAGCTCACGGTTCATGATACTGAACACAGAGTCTGCTTGGAAAATTCTCTCTCTCTCTCTCTCTCCCCGTTTGTCTCTCAAAATAAATAAATACATACATACATACATACTTTGGAAGGGAGGGGAGGGGAGAGGAGGGGGAAAGGGAA